AAATGTTTTAAATTATAGTTAAGGAGGAAAAATTATAGTTATAATAAAAAAATTAAACTGAAAAACTAAACAAATGCCATGCATAGATTTTCAGGAAAAAAAAAGAATTTTTTTTTCAAAACCTTTCCCAGATATATTTTACAGTAAACTGAATACATACAACTCTCTTTATAATTAAAACTTTGTAATTTAAATAATCTTTTTTTTTATTTATACACATAATTAGTTGTTTTTTATTTATACACATAATTAGTTGTTTTTTATTTATACACATAATTAGTTGTTTTTTATTTATACACATAATTAGTTGTTTTTTATTTATACACATAATTAGTTGTTTTTTATTTATACACATAATTATTTATGCACATAATTAGTTGTTTTTTATTTATACACATAATTATTTATACACATAATTAGTTGTTTTTTATTTATACACATAATTAGTTGTTTTTTATTTATACACGTAATTATTTATACACATAATTAGTTGTTTTTTATTTATACACATAATTATTTATACACATAATTAGCTGTTTTTTATTTACACACATAATTATTTATACACATAATTAGTTGTTTTTTATTTATACACATAATTAGTTGTTTTTTTTTAATATGCTTTTTTTTGTTCGATCTTATAGATAATTACAGTAATTTATATTGGACAATCCTGGGATTTTGAAATTATGAAAAATAGGGTATCGTAATTTTAAGATCCTGGGATTGCAAGCACCCATCCCTTACGGAAATATTCCATGGAAAACCCATGGAATTCCATGAGTAAACCATGGTTTTCCCATGAAAAACGGGAATTCCATGGAATTTCCATGGGTAAATTTCATGAAAATTGAAATCCTATGGAATTTCCATGGGTGAACCATGTTTTTTTTTTCATAGCTTAAGCTGCGCCATGGTTGTTACAAATGCGCTTTTAAAGATGGCGTCATAGCTCGTAGAGTTATGATTATTTTTAAATTAGAAAACAATACTTACTGCATTCTTCTGTTTTTCTGTGTTTAATAAGGCTATGAATTACATGTTTTTTATAATGCAATACATTTATATGTTTTAACTAAACATACAGACATAAACAACTAGATATATTTATCATATAATGCATTATAAAAGGGATTATTTTTAATTATATTTTATTATATATCATTTATGCATATACTTATTTTAACTGTTTCCAGTAGCTTTGCTTACTTTGCATAACTTGCAATAGTATAGCAAGTATGTCAAGTAAACCAGTTTGAACTTTAATGCCTACTTGGCAAATTATTTGCCAAATAATTATTATTTGGTTTACAACAAATAAATGTTTAGTTTTAATCTACATTAAATAACTAGTGTATTAATGTACATAGTGTAATTTAATGTACATTCAAACTAGTATAATTATTATTATAAAATTTATCGAACGTATTAAAGAAACTTATTTAAAATATTAATATACAAGCAGTATATTAGATAAGATTAGATAACTAAGATAATAAGATTAGATAACTAATGTACAAAAGATAACTAGTATGATCTTTTTTATTTTTTTTTTTATAATAGCCTTAGATTACATAAAAATGCTTGAAGTTTATTGTATCGTAAATGTTCATTAAGTATTAAAAAACATTTTTTTATGATAAATGTTCTATTCAATTTTAGTTCTGTTAAGTTGTTTTTGTCTTTTTGTTGTAGTTTTTTCTTTAGAATTATTAGAATATGTAAATAATGTAATATAAATAATGTTTATAAATTCTTTTATATTTACTTTATTATTTCATTTAAATTACTACATTATAAGCCAACAGGTTTGACTGGCAATATAAATAATGTTGTTCATCGTTTATATTGTTTATAACATCGTCAGTTTTTATATGCATTTAATATTTTTAAAAATAGTTCAAAAGCTGTCAAAATAAAATGGTGAATTGAGTTTAAACCAGAAAAGATATAAACGTAATCTTTGGGATTCAACTTGTAAGGATGTTCCAAGAACCACTTAGTTGGAGAAGGAAAACTGTGGTAATATTTTATAAGTATCAGTAAGGGAATTTACTTAATGCACAAGATTTTACTTCATAGTTAAATATAAGCATATAAAAGCAATGTTTATAAATAATACACTATTATTTATTATAATACAATTATTTTTATTTGTTTATATTTAACTGATGTAAAGTGCTCGTCTTTAGTTAAAATAAATTAATTTTTGCACACACTTTGATATTTACTATGCTTTTACATTACTATACTTTATAAATTACATATTTGTTATGTTTTAAATAGTGAAGTAAAAATATAATAAATTTTTGAATTTAATGGTATGTGCGTAAGTTCTTTTATTTTAACTTTATCATTTTATTTAAATTACTGCATTATAAGCAGGTAAGTTTGACTGACAATATAAATAATGTTGTACATCATGCAGACAGCTCAGACAAAGAAGTAAGTTTTTACTTAAAATTACAATTTATAAGTTATACTATATTTGTTGCTGCCTTATTCTATATAAATGTTACTAACATGCAGGTAAAATTTATATATGTGTATAAATCTTTTCATTTTAACCTTATCATTTCATTTAAATATAAATTTTTAATTTATTTATTTAGCCGTTCATTAACAAGTCCTGTGCTTTATAATATATTAAAAAATGGAAGGACGTGAAGAAAACAGGTTTGTAAATGATGTTGTACATCATGCAGATAGCTCAGAAGAAGAAGTAAGTTTTTTTTTGTAATTACAAAAGTAAATATATAATATAATATTTGTTGCTGCCTTGTTCTATATAAATGTTTCTAACATGCAGGTAACATTTATATATGTATTAGTTTGAATAAATCATTTTAATAAAGTTACATTATAGGCAGGAATGTTTGACTGGAAATATAAACGATGTTGTACATAATGCAGATAGCTTAGGCAAAAAAGAGGTAACAATCTAATAATTTGTATTTATAAATAATGATATATTCATTGCTACTTTTTTCTATATACCTAACATTTGGCAACATTCATAATTGTGTATAATGCCTAATTATAAAGTAAGTTATAATAGATAATAATTATAAGTAAAATGAATTAGTAAATAAAGAAAACTAGTTAGAATGTATATAATAGTTGTATGATGTATTGTCTAGATTGGTGAAATGGAGAATGAGACTAACTAGGGTAAAAAAAATGAATATTAATATGTGAATGGTACTTTGTTTAACATCTACCTGTTTCTACAGATACAGTACAGACGCATTTACAAATGGGCTTGATGTTTTTTTGAATTAAATATGTTGTATTGATGGTTCTTTTTAACTTGTTAAAACTTGAAGTTATTATCAAATTTATATATACTATTTTTATCAAATAGTTAATATAAAATAATAAACATGTAAATTGTTTTATTTTTTGTAAAAATTGTTTTCTTGATAAATTTCAATTGTTTATCACTATGTATATCACTTATAGTATTACATTACTTGTAATTTTTTGTTTTATTTATTTTCAGTATGTTATACATATGCGTGCATTAAATATTGTGGGGAAGTCAAGTTTTGATGTTTTAGGTGCATTATAGCTATTATTTTTCAAAGATTTGTAGGATTTAACAAGATTTAAATTTTATTTTGTTTATTGATTTTATTTGAAGAAAGCGATCTCATAGATTAAGAGAACTCAATAATAGTGGGATAAAATTTGCTTTTATGATTTAATATGACAATTCAAATAACATTAGATAAAAAACTTGAAAACAAATCATGCTTTTTTACCATGAAAAATCCATAAGTTTTCATTGGAAAGGTGTTCCTAATACCTATGGAAATTCCATGGTTTTTCCATGGATGGAAAATCATTGAATATCCATGGTATTTGGAACACTTTTCCATGAAAAACTTAAAGATTTTTCATGGGAAACTCATGGTTTTTCCATGGAAAACTCATGGTTTTTCCATGGAAAACTCATGGTTTTTCCATGGAAAACTCATGGTTTTTTCATGGAAAACTCATGGTTTTTTCATGGGAACGTGTTCCAAATACCCATGGTTTTTCCATGGTTTTTTTTTCTAAAATTCCCATGGGAAATTTTCGTACGGGATCCCATAATAACACCTAAAATTATTTTAAAAAAATCATTCTTTTTTAAAATAAATTAGAGTAAAAAATGTCACACACCAAAACCTTTGCATGCCACATGTTTCATAAAATTTCTTTATTAAGACATAAATATTTATAAGACATTTCTTTATAAGACAAAAACAATTAAAAAACTACAATAATCAAAAAATCTTGAGGTTCACAATAAGAATTTCTTATTATTGAGGAGAAGCAGAATAAAAATTTGGAGGTCATTCATTATATTTCTAATTATTGAGGAGAAGCAGATAAAAAATTTAAATGTACTAAACATGTGAAGTTTGCAAAAAAGACTTTGAAAAGCTATTTTCAGTAGTAGCAAAGACTGTGAAGAAACATAAAAATTTCATAGAAAAAAGCATCAAATAACTATATTATATAATAATATTAACTGTAACTGTAATGTTGTGGGTAATCACAAATGTAAATGTAAAGCACAAACAATTTATTCCAGCAGGAATAATAAAAGCAGGAATAAATTACTTCCTCTGTATTATTTTATCTCTGTAATACTTAATCTCTATATACCTACTTTGTTTAAAGAAACGCTTTTTTAAAGGTTTTATCCAACTAAGTTTATTGCTATGTTTACAACTAAGTTTATAACTTAGTTCGATAAAACTTTTTTATAATAAAAATATTCAAGATAAAAATTTTTCTTTAAAAAAAATTCTTTTTTTTCACATTAATTTCATTTACAAAATTACTTTTTAAATTAATTATTTTTTACTGTAATTACTATAATTACAAAACTATTCATTTTTTTTGACTCTAAAACTTAGAATCCCTTGCATCGTTAGTTGAAAAAGATCATTAAAATATATTACCCCCAAATAAATAAATAACACTAACAAAATACAATTAATAAGTACATGGCTGTAGTAGCACGCAATGTTGAATCAGAAGATATCTGGTCATAAAAGTTAAGATCTAAACAAAAATCACCATCATTATCAAAATCATCAACATCATTATCATTATCATCATCATCATCATCATCATCATCATCATCATCATCATCATCATCATCATCATCATCATCATCATCATCATCATCATCATCATCATCATCATCATCATCATCATCATCATCATCATCATCATCATCAAAATCGTCATCATCATCATTATCATCACTATTATCATCTACATGAATGCTATCCCAGATAACATACCAACATTGTCCTTACATTAATACAGCATTAATTTTTATTAATAATTTTGTATTTTTGACAGCTGGCTTTTCATAATTTTGATGTTTTAAATTTGCAGTCAGCTACTCATTAAAATGTAAAAATTATATCAGAAAGATGTCTGAAATTGATTGGCTAAAAATTTGATATACTTTTGACATGTTCGTATTTTACAAGGCTCAGAAAAAAGACCAGTTTTTTATCTTTTTTTTTTAATTTTTTATCTATTTCTCTAGGATATGCAATGAGTGTAAATTCTATGACACAGATATATATATATATATATATATATATATATATATATATATATATATATATTTTTTTTTTAATTATTCACCTCCCCAAGGCCCGAGGGGGCCACTACAGTCGAGGAGGCAACTCATTTTTTTTTTTTTTGTTGTAAATCGTGGTACAACCCTCTCTCAACTCTTTAACTCCGAAACATGAACCTTGACAAGCAAGACCGCTGCGCGGAGAAATTAAGTTGAGCGCGGTACTTCCAGGGACGTGGTGGGAGTCAAACTCCGAACCGATCGCTTACAAAGCAAGCGCTCTTACCACTACACCACTACCATTTATATATATATATATATACATATATATATATATATATATATATATATATATATATATATATATATATATATATATACTGATTTTTCAGTGTTGAGATTTTTAAAATAAATACAAAAAAAAAAATAATTTTTTAGTTATGTTATTAGATTATTTTTTTTTTTACTTTTAAAAAGTAAAAAAAAAAAATTTTAAAGATTCAAAATAATAATAAGAATTTTTTAATTTTAGGTTTTCATGATTACTATACTTTTTAAAATTGCACATACATGTTTGGTAGCTTTTTCAATGTGTATCATCTAGTAGTATTTAATGATTGTGTAATGATTGAGAATACTAAACAGTATAGACACTTTGTGCATTATATTTGTATTTTGAAAAGATGATACATAGATAGATGATACATAGATGATACATATTCTGTGATACATAGTAGAAGTACAACTTTATGACCTTGGTTTTCTTAGATAAAGATGTCAAAAAGTAGTTTACAGTTAGTAAGTACCATCCCAAAAAATTATATAACTGAAATTGACCCTAAAAGTAGTGATGTAATTAACCAGTATTAACTTTTTTAATTAATCGGTATCGATTAATTAAAAAAATTAATCGGTATCGGCTTAATTGGCATCGGCTTAATCGGCCATTTTTTACACAATCGGAATTGGTATCGGCATCAGCCTTTTTTACCGATGGCATTTTAATATTTTTATCCTATATTATTATAATAACTAAATAATAAATAAACTAAACTTTGTGCATTACATAGAATTTTTTAGATAAATTTTTATTTTGACTTTGTTTACAGGCAAAAACTTTAAAAGTAACCTATTTAAGCATTGTTATTTATATATTTTAAAATCTTTTTTACACCCAATAAGGCTTCAAGCAACTACTATCAAGTTGGGAGTTGCTAGAGTAAAAAAGAGTAGTTATAGAGCAATGAATTGGTTGACAGAAGAATTAAAAAGTTGAAGGTTGTATGAGTCAGGAAAACATAAAGATGGAACAGAGTTCCAAAGGGTTGAAGCACGTGGAAATAAGCTAGACAAATAAAGGTTTTTGGAACATGAAGAGACAGATACAGTCAAAGAATGAGACTTTGATGAATGACAAGCCAAACGAGAATGGGTTTTGGTTGATGGAACTAGAAATGAAAGCTCCTTTAAGCAGCAACCATTTGTAAAAAAAGAAAGAGATGCAACTTTTCGACCATGGGAAAAAAGCTCAAGTTCAGCAGATAGACCGGGTCCAACTCTGTTTACAATGCGTTTTTGGACCTTATCTTGAAGAGAAAGAGTATCATTAGAAGAACCAGCCCAAAAATGATAACAGTATTCCATACAGGGAAGAATAAGAGATTTGTAGAGGTAGAGAATGGAATCAGGAGAGAAAATATAGTGAGCACAATAAAAAGAAGCAACCTTAGCAGATGCTAATATAGCAATCAATTGTATATATGATTTTCATGAAAAGTCAGTTGTAAATGATAATCCAAGAAGACGTAAAGAAGTGGAATCAGCGAGAGGGTTGCCATTCATCAATATAGGAATGTCGACAGTACTGCAATAGTTATTTGTCTGACAGCAAGTTATTTGACTTAAGATAGAATGTGAGAAATTTGTTTATCAAAGACTCAAAGACCTTGCTAATAACAGAAAAAATACTGGTTGGACAATAATCGGAGAGGTCAGTAGGTTTACCAGAGTTTTTAAAAATTAGAACAACAGATGTCATTTTCCAGCAGGCAGGAAAACAAGATTCAGCCAAGCACTTATTAAATAGTTTAGAGAAAACTGAAGAGAGTTCTGGAGAACAATTTGGAAGACTGTGACAGGAATGTTGTCTGTACCACAAGCCATAGAAGAGTTTAATCGAGATGACTTTGAGCAATGGAAGCTAAAATGACTTGAATGTCTAACAATGGGTTAACTTGTTTAATTAGAATGGAAGAAAGAGCATGGCAAGATTCGAGAATCAGATTGAAAGAGAATTTCTTTGCAAATAGTTCAGGCTTATTTCATGTATTTAAGTATAGCCGAGTATCAAGTATATTTCTATATTTATAATTTTTTATTTCAATTCGCCTCCGTAAGGCCACTTCAATTGAAGAGGCTGTTTTAGTTATGGTTACAACCCATTTTCAACTTTATAACTCAGAAACACAAACCTTGATGAACAATGCCGCTGCGTGTAGAAACAAGTTAAACGCTGTACCCAGGGACGTGGTGGGGATCAAACATCACAAATTAAAATAATTTATATGTCTGAACAACATACGATTGTTGTTTAGATATCTAAATTACTAACAAATTAATAAAGAACTCTAAATAAACTGCATATGCATATTTTCTTTTTTTAAAATAAAAAAAAAAAAAAGCGTTCCTCTAAAACTGTATTTATTTTCTTGAAAGTTTTCTTTTCATAGTATAAAAAAATATAAATGTATATTTTTTTAACTGAGTTTTTCTAATATCTTTTAAAATAATTGTTTGGCTTAGATTTGGGTCCAAGTATTTGTTTACCAGTACCAATTTAAAATTGTATGGTTTTATATTTTCAAATTTTTAATAATTAGTAAATTTCTGCTACAGCATGGGGCTCACAGTGGCTGGTGAACTTTAATTCAGATAAAACTCAATTTTTTTTTAGCCAATCGTTATCGCAATAATTTAGACCTTCCTATATTTATGAACAGTAATGTACTCAACGAGTCTCCTCCCCTTCATCTTCTAGGATTAACTCTTACTTCTGATCTTTCTTGGAAACCTTATATCAAATCAGTTGTAAAATTAGCATTTGCTAAAGTTGCTTCTCTTTATCGAGCTCGACACTTTCTTACTCTGGATTCTATTCTCTATCTCTATAAATCTCAAATCCGGCCTTGTATGGAATACTGTTGCCATATCTGGGGTGGATCTTCTAATGATGCCCTTCTTTTTTAGACAAGGTGTAAAAACGCATTGTAACCATAGTTGGACCTGCTATTGCAGCCAACCTTCAACCTCTGTCACATCGTCGTAATGTTGCTTCTCTTTCTCTTTTCTACAAATACTATAAAGGGCACTGCTCTAAAGAGCTAGCGCCTCTTGTGCGATCTACTAAAATTCATTCTCGTGTTACTCGTCACTCAATTAAGTCTCATCCTTTTTCTGTTACTGTTCCTAAGTGCTCCTTACTCGTCTAGTTTTTTTCCTCGAACATCAATTCTTTGGAATTCGCTACCTTCATCTTGCTTTCCTGATTCATATAATTTGCAATCGTTTAAGTCGTCTGTCAATCGTTATCTTGCTCTTCAATCTTTATCTTTTCTCTTCCAGTAACTTCCAACACTATTTAGTGGTTGCTTGCAGCCTTGTTGGAAGCGAAGATGTTTAAAAAAAAAAAAAAAAATTCATTGGAATCGGCATCAGTATCGGCCTTTTCCCATCCATCGGCATCGGTATCAGCATCGGCCAAAAAAGTGATATTGGTACATTACTATCTAAAAGGCTCAGATTGCAGTTGAAAAGTTACTCAAAATAGCATCTTCCATTTTGATTACTATTCAAGAAAAACTATTAATATTAAAATAATGGTATAGAAAAGTAAAAAAATACTTAACATAACAATAATATAAAAAAAGATGCATAATAAGCAGAAAATAACAATAATGATTGTTAAGTAATAATAATAAGAAAAATACAGTAATATAGAAAACAATAACATAAAAATTAATCAAAAAATAATAAGAATAAAGAAAGCAATAATAATATAAAATTCTGAAAATAATATACATAATAACATTTTATTCATTTTAAAAATTTGTTGATTTTTTTTTTAAAAACTCATATTAATGCATTTTGCTATTTTTCATACCAAATAAATGCTAAATAAATACCTAATATCACATTTAAATGCATGTTTTGCTTCTAAAAGCAAACATTACATTTAAATGCATTGGTAAACTATAGATTTAATACTCATGTAAAAAAAGTTGTATAAAAAAGTTAACAAGGGTTACAAAATTACAAAAACAAGGGTTATGGTGCTTAACTTGTTTCTCTGCGCAGCCACTCTATTTGTCAAGGTTTGTGTTTCGGAGTTATAAAGTGGAAAGAGAGGGATGTATCCACAATTAAAGTAGCTTTCTTGACTGACCTTCATGACCTTGGGGAATTAAAATAAAAACAAATTAAAAAAAACAAATGCAGTACTGTAATACTAAACAAATAAATTGTCAAGCTTACAAACCTATTTTTGTAACTTGAAATTGCAATAGGTTCATTAAAAATCCATTGAAATAACCAATATCAATATAATAATTATGATAATGTCATTTTGATGATGTCATTATGATGATAATCTTGGTGATTATGATGATGATTTATGATGGTGATTATGATGAAGATGATTTATTCCTATTTACTTGACGAATAAAGGTTATTATATTTATATACCTGAGGAATTAAATGAAGAAAAAGAGTCACTTCCTACTGATGGCTTCAGCAAATCTTCACAGCAAAACTCTTTGATTTGCATTGGATTTGTCATCATTTTAAAATCAGAAGATGTTTCACTGTACTAAAAACAATAAGAAGAAAAGAACAGTATCTCAGATTTATAGATAATTAAATCCTAAGAAAACTACCTTTACACTATACAATTTTTGTTCAACTTGACTGTTGTGATAGCAACAATGTTGTTGTGAGAACTGTTATATTTGCAACAACAAAAATTCATAGTTACCTGCTCCCTTAAGCATGCATTTTCAGCTTTCAGACTTTTAACTTTTTCTTTTAGCTCTAAAATAAGTTGTTCTTTAGGATCCTATTGAAGAGATTTCTGATAATAAAATGCAATAAAATATTTGGTCAGCAGAAAAAAAAAAAGAAATACATACAAGGAACCAATTTTTTTTGCACTACATAAACAAACTATAAAAACAACACAAAACAAAATACATTTATAAAATATATAGGAGTCTCATAGATCTCAAGTTATGATTGATTATTTTGATCAAGTTATTGATTGATTCATTAGTCATTAAGACTTTAATGCTGTCATTAAGACTTTAGTGCTGTCATTAAGACTTTAGTGCTGTCATTAAGACTTTAGTGCTGTCATTATGACTTAAGTGCACCAAAGTATTTATATTTTATTTATATTTTTTCTCAATTAAAAACTTAAAAGTTTGGATCTCTGTCTTAAATGAAATGTCTCATATGCTAAGTAATGTTTATAAAAACTTTAATTACATTTTAGAATATATCCTAGAAAATATAACTTTCGAGCTTTATTTTTTTGTTAAATAAAGTTGAAATCTTTACTTAAAAAATGAAATCTTAAGTTTTTTAAAATTTATTGGAGTCTTGATTGGAGTTTTCTTCATTTAAATTTTTACAATAAACTTTTAAACAGAACTCTTTAATAGGGTACCCTTGCGGTTCTAAAAATAGATTTGATAAACTTTTGGCAAAGCTTTCTGGGATCAAAATGCAGACAAACAAAACATAATGCAAAGAAACTTAATACCAATTCTGAAGAAAATTTGTATAAAAGTGCAATAAAACAATGTTATCAGAAATCTCATCAGATTCTTGCAACCTTGAACATTTTTTAACTGATGTAATTTTAAAAAACTAGAAATAACTAAAGATTCAATGACAAACTTGGAAAAAAAGATGAAGTAAAAAAAAGCTTTTGGAAATATTTAAATAAAAAAATAGTATGTATAATCATCATAACAAAGAAATTATTTATTAGTTCTGATATAAATATAGAATGTATCTATATCAGAACTAATAAATTATTGATTTTAATACTGGAAATAGCCATGATTTTATTGATGATTTTTTGTATCATTCCTTTATTATATGAACATAAATATAGTTTTATTGGTTTAATAAACCAGCATTTGTTTTTAAAAGTTACGTTCTAAATTTATTTTAAATGTCTTCTAAATGTCTTTTAAACATTCTTACGTAAAGAACGTTTAAAAACACGTTTAAAAGACATTTAGAACGTAACTTTAGACGTTTAAAAGACATTTAGAATATAAAACAAATACCAATAGGGAAATATCATTTTCTACTTTTATGACTTTCTTAGACCAGTAAATTATCAACTTTTATATTTCAGCTCAAGAAGTGTGAGATTTTGAAAAAATGTGAGAGGTTGAAAAAAAGTTATAATAGTTATATGTAAAAAAGCAATATATATAATAGTTTATATCAGTTTTTTATATTAGTTATACAGTGTTAGAGTTTATTTAAGGTTATTTGTTGATTAAAAATAATTTTTTTTAATGAGGTATACTGCTTTCTGATTATCTTGAGCTTGTTTATGCTAATAATACCTATTTGGTTTTATTTATTAAAATACTGATCATTAATGGCATGGCTTTATTTCAGAAGTGTGGAATTATGAAGTTTTTTAACTTTCAAGATTGTTTTCTTGTCTATAAAAAAACTTTTATAGAAACAAGCAACTATTTATATTGGACTATTTTTAAGTGTGTGAAAAGTTTACAAAAGAAGAAGCCATGGAATCATGAGGCCATACAATTAAAAAGAATTGTAAAAAGCACAAGTTTATTTTGCACACTTCAATGAACATATTTATTTAGATTCAAATTTAAATAAACAACTCAATCAAAAGTTCATTTTAATTAATACTTTATTTAATGGAACTAGCGTATTAATTAGTTTGTGTAACGTCATAATTGGTAAACTTTTAACAATACTTGTGTGCTTGAATATCTTTGGAAAATTTAAATTTTGTTTTTACAAATCAAACTGTTTATTTATTTTGCTTTTTTTTTTTTTCGCTGATTGCAATTTTTTCACTTTTTTTTCTATGTGTATATAAAGATTCCTTTGTGTAATTCTTATACAAATACTAATACAAAAAAAAAAGTAAACTTAAAAATGTTAAAAATCATTTTAAACAAATTTTTTAAGTTGAAATTTAGGCTTTCTTAAAAATTATGGATTAAAACTGATTCATAAACATTTTTGTAAAAATGCCTATTTTATTTAGTGGCAACTTTTAAAAAGAAATTTATATATTTATTAACTAAATATATTTTTAATGTTTTTATTTTAAAAATATTATTTTAACAGTCAATTTTTAGATAGCTGGTTGGTATTTTTTTGACCTTGTCAAATTCTTTTTGTTTATGCATTTACCTCAGGTGTTTAATACAAAGGAGGAGTAATTAGTTATATACTCACCCTGAACGTATTAAAATTTATTAAATTCATTTGTTTATTAAATTTCACTTATTGCTAAAGAAAACTGATAAAAATAAAAACTTGATGTAATCAGGCTTTAAAATGAAAAATTTAAACTAAATGATCAGAATAAGAACTTTCATTGTAATCAGCTCTTAAAAATTCACAAACACTAAACAAGAATTCAAAAAGTTATTGACAGTTTGTATTGAAAACTGAGTAACTTGTATTGTTGTTGTTATACATTTTTGAGTTGTTTGTCCACATTTCGATCCCAGAATACTTAGTTTTGATTTTTTCAATATATGCGTGACGAAAGCCAAACAGTACCCTATTAGATTTTGATTTTAAAACCTTTGTGTCATTGCATCACTTTTGTGTCAGTTATACTTATTTCAAAATTTAAAAAATAAAATAATGTGAAGCATTTCTTTTTCTTTTTTTATGATTATAATTTTTATGATTTTTTATGGTTGTAACATTAAAAAAACAACAACTATAAGCCTCTTCAGTTGGTGGTGCTGCAACCTTAAAGAAATAAATGCAGTAAAAAAAAAATCTATATATGTATGTATATAGAAATTATATTATTATACAACAGTACTCTTGTATTGATTCTTGAGGAAATAAAACAAATTAAAATAAACTTTTGGTTTTGTCAAGGTTTGTGCTTCTGAATTATTAAGTCTGTTGTTATTACTAATATGAAAGAACACTTAACAAATAAAACAAACACTTATTTAAAAGTATTTTATTTTTTTATTTAAAAGGAGTTAAAATGAGGTTTGAAACAAAAAAAAAAATATCAAAAAAAATATTTTTTACTTATTTTTTCAATTTTACTAAAAATGTCAACTAAGTTAAGCACTAGCCTTGTCGGTAAAGTGGTTGCTGCATTGGCAGTAAAGCAGTTTTTAGCACAAAATCAATATTTTTCAACTATGCAATAATAAGCAATAAAAAAATAATATTAAATATTGATTTTTTTATAAAAGTCAGCTTGTGATAAATTATTAGCAGGATAATTACAAAAAACGCATCATAATCGTAACTAATCACGCTTGAGTCCTTATCTCAAAATCATTATCAAAACTTAAACATAATAGCATTGTGGTAATACTAATGCTTAAGCTAACCTATTCCATTATATTTCATTTTCATATTTGTTAAATGCCTTTTCTTATAAATTGTATCTATTAAGTATTTAAAAAATGTATGATAAGTATTTGAATATATTTTTAGTTTCTTGCAAATTTTTGGTTTAGTGTTGATCAGAGAAGATAACAATTAAATTGTGGGACTCAAAAAAAAAATCATAATTATATCAGAGATTAGGAATAATGAGCGTATCTGATATATAGGTAGATAATACATGATAAATAGGGTGATACATAACAGATAGGGTACATCATATATCTGATACATATAGATAGGGTGCATTAGGTAAGTTTAAGATGGGTTGAGCATGAACATCATAAAGATCTAGATGATTATGTATCAGTATGTAGAGAGTTAGCAGTTTCAGGAGAAAAAATTAAAGATAGGTAAACTAAGAGTAGTGTAAAGAGAGTGTTACAAATGACATGAACTTTAGTTCATGTTCAAGATGCTCAAGATTATGTATTTGGAGTCATTATGAGAAATGTTCATCTTATATCCTTAGGTCCATCCTATATAAGCGCAAAAATGCCTAAACAATAATGATGACAATGAGTGTTAAGCAAAATTGAAAAAAAAAAAATGTTTTATTTATGCAAACAATTTTACAAAATGAAAAAATTTTTCTTTTTCTTTTTACAACTTTTTTGTTATTTTGTTTTTTAAACAATTTTTTGTATCTGTTGTATTTCAATCTTTGAAAACAAAATAAAATGAACAAATATTTTTTTTTATATAGTTTGAAATTTTCATAAAAATTTAAAAAATAAAATTTTTTTTAAAAATTTATTTGAAAACCAATTAAGTAAAAATTTTTATATACCAATTAAGCAAAATTTTTATAAAATCTTACCATTTTGATGATGGGTTTACTTTTTATATTCTTTGCACGATTTGCATATCTTAGCGTGTTAATTGAATCATGAAAGTCATTAAAAGCAGGAGAAATACAAGCTATCTAAAAACATAAATTTTTATAATGTAACAAGCTAGGTAGTAAAATTTAAAAGAAGATCAATCCAAGACAACTAAAATAATTTCAGAACAATAAAATCAACAGAAAAATTAAAATAACCTTACCATAAGAGTATAACCATCTCCACCAAGTGTATCCATTAATAGTTTAGTAAGTTTACTGTCACGATAAGGAATGTGCTTATGGCAGTTTTTCAAATCACCAAGTGCGGAAATACAATTTCCTAAAATAGATCAAAAATATATTAACATAAATTGTATGTTAATATATATATATATATATATATATATATATATATATATATATATATATACATATATGTATATATATATATATATATATACATATATGTATATATATATATATATACATATATACATATATGTATATATATATATATATACATATATATATATATATATATATATATACATATATATATATATATATATATATATATATATATATATATATATATATATATATATACATACATATATATATATATATATATATATATATATATATATATATATATATATATATATACATGGTGTAAACTAGCCCTGTGACGCCCCGTCAAACGCGGTTTTTCCAAATGCTCATAAAATTAAAATTCTAAAAATAATTTAAAATTAATTATAATTCAAAACTTATAGAAAAATAGCATAAAAAAATTCTAATTCATTAATTGCGTAAAACTTGAAATCAAATCGTCATTATTGGTATAAAAACGTAATTGAATAACTGCGAAAATCAGTTTCTTGGAAAAAACATCATGAGAAATTTTTGGAGCGATTTTTGGGATTTTTGTGCCAACTTGCAATAAAGTTTGAAAATAGTTTTTACCAATTCATTCCAACAACATTAAATATTATATAAAAAAGTTAGCAAGAAATAAAGTACTAATCTAAAAGATCCAAAATAATAACAAACTTGTTTGGTTTAACACCTGCAAATGCTATATTTTTAAAAGTTTTGCCCTTTTTGGCTAAAAAGTTAAATAACCTATCAAGTCTTACTGTAAACACAACTTTAAGTAGTACATGTATTTCGTCAACAAAAATATCGAGAAGGTTATGTCAGATACCTTATGATCAATTACGGTTACTACTAAAAGTCTTTTAGTTATTGTTTTTCTTTTTTTTGTTTAGTATTTTATATTAACTGAATTTGCAAAAGTTTTTTACTTTTTTACTGGTATTCTTCGATGCCACGCCTGCAATCGCTTGCTAATAATATTAATCTATAATTAAACAACATTTTTTGTTGTTTTTGCTGAGACTTTGTGATTATAACTTTATTTAGCTATGCGATTTATGTATAAAATAAATTACTATTAATTATAAAATTGAACTCGCAACAAATGTGAAATATGAAATTTATGATCTCTTGTTTGCTATTTTTAAAACCTTATCTATTTTCAAAAAATTTCTTTTGATGACACAATTTATTACATGATGATGTAGGGGTTTGTCCGTAAAGTACATCGAGCAGAACTTAAATAATAATTAGAAGTAGAAGATCATTGGCTCATTGGAGATGGCTATTTTACTATGTTACATTAAAAAAAAATATTTATTCAAAATAATACTCTTGAAATGAGAGTGGCGACAATATATAAAGATTAAAAATCAAATTAATTATTCTCAACAATAATTAATATACACTGGTTGTTTTATAATAAAAAAAAGATATCATTCCAAATATATATGGAAAACGGTTTTTAGTTTGTCGTGTCGTCGTGAAATACCTGCTAACTTTGTGTTGATTTCATATTTATCTTTAATGATACAGATGGTATTTTATTTTATTTTTGGCGCTGATCAATCAATGTATGCAGCACTGAAGAAGAGTAGAAAAAAAAAAAAACACCAAATAAGAACCCCATGCTTTCCCAGAACACATTTTATTCTCACGATAAAAAATGTGCTTATGGCAGTTTTTCAAATCACCAAGTGCGGAAATACAATTTCCGCACTTGGAAATTACAAAGGAAGGAGGGTGATTGAAAAATTGACAAATTCCCGATTTCGTTAAAAGGCTGTTTCAAATTTATTCCTGGTTAACACCCTGATATATATATATATATATATATATATATATATATATATATATATATATATATATATATGTATATATATATATATATATATATATATATATATATATATATATATATATATATATATATATATATGTATATATTAGTCTTGCATGGTAGTCAGAAAGTTTTTCCCATAACTGTAGTTTTAAAGAGCCGATGTAGCAGCACTCCGTTGTGAGTCAGGCTATGAGATAGTCGATGTAGCAACACTCTGTTGCGAGTCAGGCTATAAGATAGTCGATGTAGCAACACTCCATTGTAGCAGCAAGCTATAATCGATAGTCAATGTAGTAACACGAATGTTTTAAAAATATATTTCAATAAAACAATAACAAAAACACCATTAATTAAAAAAACTTTCTAGTCATTATTATTGTGGTTTTTTAAAAAACAATAAAATTTAATTTACTTTCGCATTAATTTAACTGCTTTGACATTTCGACAACAATAAAATGTAGCTTAATTGTCGAGGTAGCAAAATTGTAGTCAAAAGAGACTTTCTTTTACATTAAAAGTCTCTTTCTATTACACTATAAGGATATATATAAATATATATATGTATATATATATATATATATATATATATATATATATATATATATATATATATATACATACATATATATATATATATATATATATATATATATATATATATATATATATATATATATATAAATATATATATATATATATATATATATATATATATATATATATATATATATATATATATATATATATATATATATATATATATATATATATATATATATATATATATATATATATATATATATATATATATATATATATATAAAGTAGTAGAAAATCACTTACCAAAAATTTTTTTTCATTTAACACTGTGTTTCATTAATAAAGACTCATCAGAAATGAATAATCAAATAAATAAAACTTCAACTTATACCAAAAAAATGAAATTACAGGAAGTCGCAAATGTCATAACTACTGTAAATTTTTACACATTTTTGGAATATGCTGAGACTGTTATAAAAAGAACTGATTACATCTACTTTTTTTTTTAAATATTTTTTTAAAGGGGGATTTAATGTAATTATTATTTGAGCTCACTTATTTTGATTTTAAGGAGAAACTTAGAGCAATTTAGAGCTCTCGCAAAAGTACAACTTTTGCATAATTATAAAACACTTTTTTTTACTCTTTTTTTAGATATTGATCAAAAAATTAAAAATTCTTGTGCTAACTATATAGAATAAAAAAGACAAAGTTTCAGTTTTAGATAGACTTTTTTTGCTTACATAATGGGATTGTTTATTTTTTTTGTATAACACTAATTTTTACTAATTTTTTTTGTAGTGCTTGTGTATGCTAACTTTACAAATGACAACAAAACAAACATTGACTAATATAATTGGATTAACTATTTTATTTTATTTTATTTTTTTTATTATATAATTGGAAACTCATATTACATTTAACTAATAATTACTCATATAACAACTTATAACAACTTGTTAACTAACAACTTGTTGATTTGATATAAGATATTTTATACTACAACTATTGTTTTGTTTTTAGCAAAACAGAATTTTAGTATTGTAAATGTGAATATAAATACAGTTGACTCTTGATATCCCCACCACTCAATATCTCGAACTTTATTTCGGGTCCCTTGCGCTCTTTTTTTTTTTTTTTTTAATTCTAATTCACCTCCTCAAGGCTGAGTAGGCCACTACACATGAGGAGGCTACGTATTTTGTGGCTATAACTCTCTCTCAACTCTATAACTCCGAAACACGAACCTTGACAAACAAGGCAGCTGCGCGGAGAAACAAGTTGAGCTTGGTACTACCAGGGACGTGGTGGGGATTGAACCCAGAACCACTCGTTTATGAAGCGAGCGCTCTACCATTACACCACTACCGCATTACTTTGGTCTCTTGTGCACTCGTTTGAGCCAAAATCCTCTCGATATCTTGAACTCTTGATATTTCTAATTTTTCAAAGTCCACTGAGAGTTCAAGATATCAAGAGTCAACTGTATTACATAAGTATAATACAAAGTTATAATTAGTATAAAAAAAACTTTTCTTTTCTTTTTGAACACAGATTTTCAGTGCAGACATTTTCCCTAAAATTCTTGGTTTGAAATATCAAGAAATTCTTGGTGTGAAATATCATGTAATTCTTGGTGTGAAATATCATGAAGTTCTTGGTGTGAAAAATCAAGAAATTCTTGGTGTGAAATATCAGGTAATTCTTGGTGTGATATATCATGAAATTCTTGGTGTGAAATATCAAGAAATTCTTAGTGTGAAACATCATGAAAATCTTGGTGTGAAATATCAAGAAATTCTTGGTGTGAAAAATCAAGAAAATTCTTGGTGTGAAATATCAGGTAATTCTTGATGTGAAATATCATGAAATTCTTGGTGTGAAATATGTAATATCACTACAACAATAATGACAATAAAGTTCGCAAAGTTTTTAGAAATAAACCAATAACTGCATAAAGTTTTTAGAAATAAACCAATAACTGCATAAAGTTTTTAGAAATAAACCGATAACTGCATAATAAACAACAATCCTTTTTTAAAAGCACAGTTATTGCAAAAAAAAACAAAAAAATAAATTAAAAAAACGCTAATTGAAATGTAAATGTTTTCAATTTAAATGGATTAAATGATTTCTTAAATAAAAAATCAGTTTCTTATGAAAATGCCATTATAAAAATAAATTGATAATATTCTATCATAAATATTTTTCTTAATCAATGATATGTCTTCCTATTAAAGCTATTATTTAAAATTCAGTTTATTAAACATTTTTAAAAATACATTTTAAAAAGTAAAACATTTTTTTTGATGGTTGTAAGTACTTTTTATTTTATTTTACTCAAACTCATATATATACTACAAAATTATTACACACTAAATAATTTTATAATAATTTTTATATTATGTAATGATTTATATATTTCATATATTAATAACAATTATTAAACAAATTATTTAATTTACATAATTTTTTCTCAATTTGAGCAAAATAAAAAAATATAATGCCCAATTAATGCTCTGATAAATTGCTCTTTTATAACTTTACAGTAATCAACAGTATCCTTAATCCCAGTATCCATTACTGCTTAGTCTCATTGTAATGCTGGTAATAATAAATCCAATTCTAAGGATAAACTTATTATCTACCAATTACATTCATGCAAAAATGTAATTGGTAGATAATAAACTAAAAACAACTTGAAAGATAAAAAAAACAACTTAAATAAAATTCATACAAAAATGCTTTTATTTTTTTATCGCTTGAATAAATTATAAAGTCTGTAGATTGCGGCATATATTTTAAAGACTTAAAATATATGCCAAGAGAGATTGGCTAACGTGGAGATGGCAAGCTTCAAGTAAAACAACAAAGTTTGTTTTTGTTGGTATACATATTTTTTTTTTTATTGAAAAAAATTCTGTACAAACATTTTTTTTTTATCATTCTCTTTAAAATGAACATAACTTGTCTAGGCACTTTGGGATTCTTTTAAATGACTAAAGTTACACAATGACCGAACTTTAGATAACTTTATGATGTTGACTGAACTTTAGATAACTTTACATGGTGACCGAACTTTAGATAACTTTAAGGTATAATATATTATAATATTAAATAAATAATAGTATATTTGAACTGTGACTGATAATTTGGTGAGTGCACCAATTACACTTAGACTATATCATTAGCTATATCATTATGCAACATAGTTACATTGTTTAAAATCAATATGTCAAGTTTAGCTTTAAAAGTGTTCACAGAAATAGCATTAAAGACATCAGTTGGTAGTCAATTCCAGTAAAAAGATGCTCTGTTAGTTAAAAAATAATGCAGAGGCAAAAAACTAGTTATTTTGCAATTTTATTTCATTTGATGACCTTTTGCTGATTAATAACTTCTTGACAAGATTTCATTAAATTTACTTTTTTAATTCGATTAAACAACTTGTACATTATGATAAGTTGGGTCTCACTACTTTAGTTGTAAGACCCATTACATGGGTCTTACAACTAAAGTAGTGAGACCCAACTTATCTAATCTTTTCTCATGACAGTTTTTTTAGTGGCGATATTATTCTTGCAGTACAATGCTATACCTTTTCTAAGAAACTCATTTCATCTTTAAGACATGAAGACCACACAGATACAGTCGACTCAATTAATGGTCTTACAAAAGTTGTGAATATAATTTTTAGTAATTCACTATTTAAACCTAAAAATATATTTCTCAACATACCCAAAACTTTATTTGCTTTACTTGCACATAGAGTTGTATGATTTTTCCATTTCAAGTCAGAGGTAAATACTCCAAGATTTTTTTTCAGTGGTACTTAAAGGTTTTGCATAAAATAATTTCTTTTTGGGTTATTTTTATCAAAGTGCATTATTAAACACTTATCAAAACTAAACTTTAACAACCATTTGTTGGACCAGTTGAAAGCTTTATCTAGGTCATTTTGCAATAAGTTAACACTTGCTTTACAATCAACCCTTGACAATACTTTTGCATCATCGGTTTGTTTTATTTTTATTTTTATTTTTTTCATTATATTTCATATGATAAGATATAATGAAAAAACTACTAAAAAATTTACTTTAGATTTTTTGTTTATCAAAAAAAAATTTTTTTTTTATATAATTGCTCATTTGTTAAAGATCTATTATAAATGTTGTTTAGGTTGCTGTTTTGTACATTGTTATTGTTTTTTGTGTGCTTTCGTGTCTATTTTAAAAGTCTTTAAATAAATGTAATTAGATAATTAAAATTAAAAAAAAACTAAATTAAATCTAAAAAAACTATAATTAAAAGTTTGCTAACTTTATATTTACGTTGTTATGTAATCATTTATGGCTTCTTTTTAATGTCTTCTTTGATGTTTTTATGAGATATTTGTGAGATATTATTTATGAGATATTATTTTTCTATTGATTTTTATTTTTTTGAATAAACTATTTAAATATTAAAAACTAGTTCTTAATTCAACTTCCCACATGTATTCACTACAAATGTGTGACCATTTCATTGTGTGCAACAAGAATATAAATATTAAAAGAGTTAAATTTTTAAAGAATTTAACACATGAATTATCTAAAATTGAATCATTTGATTAATAACTACATCAAATTCAGACCTAAGCTTTAGTATAATCAATTTCACTTTTTTGAAATTTTTCATGATCAATATCACTAAATATAAAAAATTTCTTCACAAGGATAATATTCACAAGTTTGAATATTAATTGAAAAACTTGTTAATCAATTATTCAACTTACTTCAATGTCATTGGTGACTAATTAATGCACAATTTACATGAAGTATTCACCAATCCGGTCCGGTAGATTTATGACAAAAATCTGCAGATTCATAGTTTTTATTATCTGTTGAAGTAATAGTAACATTTTAGCCAATCAATAAAAAAAAACAGGAAAAAAAGAAACTAATCCATATCCATTTTTCAGAAAAACTATGAAAAAACTATGCCTTAAATCTTGTGATTTCTTGATGACCCTTAAATTTATTGTGTATGAGTTAAAAAATTACAACTTCAAGTAATTATATAATTTCTTTTAGAACAAAATTAATTTTAATACAATCTCAAAATAAAACACTGAAAACCTTTAAACACAATATTCTAATATATTTTGTGAACTTTATATCTTAAAACGAATAAAAAAAAAATTTTGCAACCCAAATCCCTAGTCCATATAGTGGCCTCCATTGCACATTCTTCCTATTTATTCAGTTGATGTATGTACTGAAGCTCCTGTAGCTCTTCCTGCTGTTTCATAGCTGAGAATATTGAATGTGTGTATGCTATTATTTAAGAACTCATAAAACACATGATATAGTTAAAGCAATACTCTTAAAAAAGAAAACTAATAGCTGGATACCCCACAAGTTAACCAAATAAAATCTAAAGTATTAAGTTGAGAAATGCGAGAGAAATTTAGCCTTATTCAGAAATGCCCCAGCGAGACTATGTGATGTTATTACAGTGTTTGAATGATGTTTATATTTAAGATAAGTTGGACACAAGTCTGCTAACACTAGTTAGTTTGGTGGTGAAAGTTCAAGAACTTTAGTAAAATGCAACAAGTTCTAGCAGAAAAACATGCTCTACATTTTTTCATAACAGGTGTTGTTCATTTGGGTTGTGTTGAAACAGGCAATAACACTACTAGTCAATATTATTTGAGAAATTGTTTGAAACTTTTATGCATGAAATAACTAAGCAAAGTCCTGTAAAAAGCACTTAAAATTTTAAATATCTCCGTGATAAAGTTTTACCCCATGTTATTCAAATCACAAACTGTCTTAACCAAACTAGCATTACAGTGAAGCTAATTCTGGTGCACTTGCTAGTGTTAGCTCCATCCAACTTTTGGCTATTCAACTTAATACAAAAAAATCTAGATAAATATACTGATGTCAAAACTTAAAAAAACTACATAACCAAGCCACTTCAAAGTATAACTAAAGATAAAGATATATATAAGATTATAATTTTTTTTGATAAATGGCCTGAAAGGATGCAACTTTGTTTAAATAACTGTACATTACTAAAACATTTAATAAAATGAAATTTAAGAAACTTATCTTATTATTAATGTACATGAAAATTCTTTCACCTAATGTAAGTAAACTTTTGTTAATATTACTTGATTCCACTAGAGCTTTACCAGCGCTTTTGGATATTTTCACTCTTTCACTACCTAAAACACAGATAAAATTATTTTTTAAGACATGAAAATAAGGTAAAAAAAAATGTTGTAAAAGACAAATTGAAAAAAACTTTATTATATTTTATATTGTATGTTATAAAACACAGATACCTATAATACAAACATTACAACTTTAAATGTTAAAAAGAAAACAAAAAAAACTTTATTGTATTTTATTAACTTTTTGTTTCATTTACTTTATTTACTTCAATTATTTTATTAACTTTTATGGTATTTAATTACTTTTTCATTTTTTTTATAATTAAAAATATTTATAAAGCGTATATATATATATATATATATATATATATATATATATATATATATATATATATATATATATATATATATATATATATAATAAACTAATAAATATATATAAAATAAGTTGTATATCCCATTAACAATTGATCCATTAATGATTAAAAAAGAGATATGATTCACCTCAGAAGTCAAAGTAGCTGTAAAAAGTTTATGCGGTAGTGGTGTAGTGGTAGAGCGCTCGCTTCATAAACGAGTGGTTCCGAGTTCGATCCCCACCACGTCCCTGGTAGTACCGCGCTCAACTCGTTTCTCCGCGCAGCGGCCTTGTTCGTCAAGGTTCGTGTTTCGGAGTTATAGAGTTGAGAGAGGGTTATAGCCACAAAATAAGTAGCCTCCTTGTCTGTAGTGGCCTTCTCGGCCTTGAGGAGGTGAAGTAAAATAAAAATAAAATAAAAAAAAAAGAAAACACAAGTTATTTGGAAAATATAGAGCCTCAAGGCACAACTCTTACAAATTGTTGCAAAAAAAATACAAAGCCACATATAAAGAAGTAAAAAAAATCATTAAAAAGATATATACACATTTATAATAAAAATTTAAGAAGATTGTAATTTAAAGTCTGATCCATAGAATTGCAGACATATGCATGCAGTGCATATGTCTGCAATTAAAAGCAAGTTAAAGAACTGGCGTCGTTTTCTAACAGTGGAAAAAATCCAATTTCATATCAATTTTCAAACAAAGCAGCAGACTTAAAGCAAGAAACTACAGATCAACGTTTGTGTTATGGAGAGTTAAATGCACAATTGGATAATGACATTTAATTGGATAATGACATCTACTTCAACTACAGACCAAATGCAAGGTTATGGAGAGTTAAATGCACAATTGGATAATGACATTTGCGGCAACACATAAGCTAACCAACAAAGCACAATAAAACAAAAGAACTGCATATCAAATCTTCTTGAAATGTGTGATATTCTTACAGAAACTGTCCATCTTGACTGGGCAGCAGATCTGATACACACTAGTTTTGAAAAAGTCTTTGACAATGCCTCTGATAAAATTAATCACCACGTTAAATTGTACACAGATAAAAAGAAAATTATTAAATTAAATCTCAATGTGCAGACCTTTCCAGCAGACTTTTCCATTGGTGCTGCAGATATTGGTGCAGCAGATATTGGTGCTGCAGATATTGGTGCTGCAGATATTGGTGCTGCAGATATTGGTGCTGCAGTTGACTAGTCCAATGAATGGCATGCAGTTGTTTAAAATTGCTAAGTAAATTAAAGATCTTCCTTCTGCAAAGGCAGCTTTTTAGATTTATCAACAAATGACTGTTACAATATTAACATACAATTCCAACATCAATCGTAATTTTACAGCAACACACAAAGCTTAACTAAGTTCATTTGACAGAAGAGCAAATGATATAAATATTAAAGAAATATAAATACATAAGAAATATTAAACAAAGAATATTGCTGAGACTTAATTAAAACTCAAAATGACAAAAAACTCTTTTTACTTTGTAGGAACAAAACTTTTTAACAAGTTAACTTTGGACATTAGAAATAAGACAGAACGAACATTATTTAAAAAAAAAAAATGAACAATTTTTTTTTTAAACAGCATTGACATACACTTTACTAATTTTAATACTTTCTATACTTTTTGTTAATTTCGGATAATTATAATTTCTGTTTTGAGTTTTAGTTTTAAACAGGACACATGTTGATAACATTTTCTATAACTGACAGTGTATAAATATCATTTTAATAACAATAATAATAATGGCAAATGCATTTATAACTGAAAAATGTAAAGTAATGCATGTTGGTTCTTGCAAGAAAACCCAAGCATGAGTGTTCAATGGCAATTGTTGATGGCACACGTAGGCAACTAGGTAACAACCACAGAACGAAATTAAGAATTTTTGTATCGGATAACCTATTTGCTCAAGCTCAAACAGAAACTGCTGCCTCAACCGCAAATAGTATGCTTGGCCAGCTTAAAAAAGCTTTCCGCAGTCATGATTTCATACTATGGCATACTCTCTACTTAACATACATCCTCTCTCTTCTAAAATTTGTCGCACAATCATGTTCACCATTTCTGAAAGCTGACATTGCAATCCTTGAATAAGTACAGAAATTAAAGACAAAAACTATTGCGGCAATCAAACATTTATTATACAAGGAGAGACTACTACAACTTGTGATTACCAACCTAGAATAAAGAAACACATGGAGAGTTCATTTTACAATATAAAATATTGAACAATAGAGAAAAAATAGACATTACATGGACATTTCTTCACAAATCCTGTCATCAGTCATTGAAAAGCTTTATCACAAAATGTTATAAATGTGCCTATAGTTAACTATTTCAAGGACTTAATTGTTTCCATCTATAAAAATTTGTAGAAAAAATATGTATATTCATAGAAAAAAACATACATATTTGTAGAAAAAAGAAACTTATTAGACCTTCTATAAAGGGGTCTAAAAAGTCTAAGAGGGCCTCATTAGAAATCCTGAAAAAAAAGACTAGAAGAACCAGCCTAAATATGACAACATCTTTCCACACAAGGACAAATAGGAGATTTACAGAGGTAGAAAATGGAATCAGAATTAAGAAAATGGCAAGCATGATAAAACAAGACAACATTAACAGATGCTAACTCTGGATTGTATATATGGTTTCCACGAGTGATAAGAATTAAATGATGCGGAAAGACTTAAAGTAGAGGACTTAAAGTAGAGGACTTAATAAGAGTGTTGCTATTCATTTAATAACTATTATCAGATTAAAAAACACCAGCAAACTGTAAGCTTTATGTTTTCATATAAGAAATATCAAATAGTTAAAGTGTGCTTAAAAACAGATTTACAGAGAGCAGACAAATTTATTTTAATAATATAAACAAAATACTTATAGAATAAATTATAATTGTATTTTATATATTTATTTATATTAACTATGCAATAAAACTGTAAATGTTAAATTTTCAATTATAAAAATAATTTTTTTATAAATAGTATTATAAAATCAACATACCTGCTAAATCAACAAAGTTTATTTTTCCATGTTTTATAACATTAGAACTATGCTGTAAAAAAGTCATTACAAAAATTTATTATTAAAGTATTATATATTATATTATAATCAATATAATATTATATAACTATAATTATTATTAATAGCTATTTTATATTCTAAATAATATAGATATATAGATTAAATCATAATGTAAATAATAAAAAAAAAAAAAAAAATTTATTTAATAAAAATTATTATTTTGATTAAATAATTGTTTAATAAAAATAATAATTTTGAATAAACTTTGTTTTTATACTTGAAAATGTCACTATTATGAATTGAGAAGTCAAATTTTCAATTTAAAAAAAAAAAGTAAATTCGCCTCCATAAGGCTGAGAAGGCCACTAGAGAAGAGGAGGCTACTTAATTGAGGTTATAACCCTCTCTTAACTCTGAAACACAAACCTTGACAAACACTAATTCAATAAGAAATATTTGTCAAGTTCTCTAAAACAATTTTCATATAATTTTAACCAACCAACTACTGTAATAAATTTATGATCTTCCACTTATTTCATGATAAATTTGAAATATTTACTAGTTAAACATAACAAAAATTACAGAAAATATGAATACATAAAATATGAATTTTGTTGCACAAAATAAATTCAATTTTTACAGATAACTTTTTTGCAGTATATTGACATTAAATTACCTATTTCTTAGACAATTTAATCTGGTATTTATAATCTTCATAGCCCATAAGAATGCAAACTTTTTCAGATTAAAAAACATTTTATTGAATCTTAACTTAAGCGAAAAGAACTTAAGCGAAAATTTTTATTTTTATTTTAGTCATTGATTCAGGTTTCTAATGATAGATTTTAAAGTCACTAAATTTTTTAAAATCTTAAATCTTTTTTAAAATAGTTTTGGCTCTTTGTAAACTTTTATGAAAATATATTACTCAAAAACTATTCAAAAAAATGTTTTTCAAAAAAAAAAAAAAAAACTTCTTTTTTTACTGGATTAGATAAAATTAAATAATAAAAAAAAAAATTTGATTTTAGTAATATGCTTTATTTAAATTCTAATAAATTCTTTTAGGAAATTTAATTCAAATATTTGTAACTCCAACAACTTTAATATTATATATCTATATATAATATTATATTTATCTTATAATTAAATTAAATCTTTTTCTCTTTTCTACAAATATTGTCATGGCTGCTGCTTAAAGGAGCTTTCATCTTTAGTTCCATCAACCAAAACTCACTCTTGCTTGACTCATCATTCATCAAAGTCTCATTCTTTTATTGTATCTGTCCCTGCATACTCCAAAAACTTTTATTCATCTAGCTTTTTTTCCCTGCACTTCAATCCTTTAGAACTCTCTCCCATCTTCATGTTTTCGTGACTCATACAACCTTCAACTTTTTAAGTCTTCTGTCAACTGTTTTCTTGCTCTAAAACTCTATTTTTTTTTTCTTAGCATCTCCCAACTTAATAGTGGTTGCTTGCAGCTTTGTTGGGAGTGAATCAGAATAAAAAATTAAAACAAAATATTATTGATAATTAATACATTTATTGATAAAAAATATTAGTTATTCATAAAAAATATCATACATTTAAATACAAATAAAAAAGTTTAAATGTCTTTATATTCATACCTCAACTCCATCTAAAAACAGTATAAGCATACTATGACTGCGACTGGAATAGTCATTTAACAAGTGCTGGCCCACTTGACGCATTGCACTTCCTAGTAGAAAACTCATTTAAATGATAGAAAAATATTTTAATTTATTATTAAATTTTTTTGTTTATTACAAAAATACTATAAAACAATTATTAACTTGAATTTAATTAAAAAAAAATTTATTCTTTAACTTGCAGTTTCTTTCAAGAATGAAACTAGCATACTTAAGATATACATATAGAAATTAGTTACCTTCAGATAATACATCAAAAAGATGGTTTAGTTCACGACATTCTACTTTAGTCAGGTTCTCAGCATAAAATCCATCCTTTGAACACCATCTCACAGGTAATGAATTTTGATTGGAAGTGTTTATCAAATCTTTAACCTTATAAAAACATTACATTATCATTGTCATCATCATTATTATTACCATCATCATCATCATCATTATTACCATCATCATCATCATCATCATCATCATCATCATCATCATCATCATCATCATCATCATCATCATCATCATCATCATCATCATCATCATCATCATCATCATCCTCATCATCATCATCCTCATCATCATCCTCATCCTCATCCTCATCACCATCCTCATCCTCATCATCATCCTCATCATCCTCATCATCATCATCATCATCATCATCATCATCATCATCATCATCATCATCATCATCATTATTATCATCATTATCATCATCATCAACAAAATGTAATACTTTTTCATTGTATATTTCGAGAAATGAAGCTTTAATAGAATATTCTATATCTGTTTTCAACTTGATTTGTTCAAAAATATATTTAAAAGACCTAAAAAAAAAGAAAAGATTCAAAATAATGATTACAAAAAAAAAAAAAAAAAAACTTTTGTTAATTTAATTCTCATACTTAGTACGCTTATAATATGATTATTAATTTAAAACAAATTCTTTAATTTTAGTTAATCTAATTTGATGTTTTATTTTTTCCCTTTAAATATATTTTAATACAAGCCTTAATAGTATATATTATCCAATATATAAATAGTATTTATTATCAAAACATTTTGTTATAGTTTTGAGGTTTGTTGTGAAATAAGATATAAAAGATGAGATTTAATTTTGAAGGTTATTTATGATATTAAGATGAGTTCAAATCAAACTAAAAAAATCTTTAAAAGATTACTTATAATATTAAAAATAAGCTCTGATTATGTTAAAATCATGTTAAAAATGATGATCAGGCTAAAATCATGTTAAAAATGATGATCAGGCTAAAATCATGTTAAAAATGATGATCAGGCTAAAATCATGTTAAAAATGATGATCAGGCTAAAATCATGTTAAAAATGATGATCAGGCTAAAATCATGTTAAAAATGATGATCAGGCTAAAATCATGTTAAAAATGATGATCAGGCTAAAATCATGTTAAAAATGATGATCAGGCTAAAATCATGTTAAAAATGATGATCAGGCTAAAATCATGTTAAAAATGATGATCAGGCTAAAATCATGTTAAAAATGATGATCAGGCTAAAATCATGTTAAAAATGATGATCAGGCTAAAATCATGTTAAAAATGATGATCAGGCTAAAATCATGTTAAAAATGATGATCAGGCTAAAATCATGTTAAAAATGATGATCAGGCTAAAATCATGTTAAAAATGATGATCAGGCTAAAATCATTATCATGCTCTGATCTGACCATGCTTAAGTCTTAAAATAAAATTAGCTTTATATTTAAAAATACCAAAATTGAGAAACAGAAAAACTAGTCCTTAATTTTTAATTAACTAATAATGGTAATAACTGTAGGTATTAATGGCACTTCAGCCGGTTACTATCTATAACTTATCAAATTTGAGAAGTTAATTGCAAATAGAGAATTTCAATGGATTTGGGATTAAAAAGTTTTACAATATTTATGTTATGTTGAATTAGATCTCTCTCTTAGAAAATTTGGTGAAAACCTGCTAAAATGGATTTGTATATGTTAGGACCTGATCAATCAACAGTCCAATTAATATGCAGGAATTAGATCAGGCAACCCATATATTTTTTTAAAAAGAAACATTAGAAATATGTGTTATTTAAAATTATCCTTTATTATTTATTTAAACATATCTTACATTTATTAAAAAAATAATAGTGATAAGCTCAAAAATCGATACAATAAACTGATTTCAATGCTGAATAATTGGTAGATTACTAGTAAATTAATTTTACTTTCTAAATTAACTTCATATTTCTTGTAGATAATTGAAAACAACAGATAATTGAATACCAAATTAAAATAATAATGCACCTGATACAACAAAAACAGATACAATAAAAAATACATATACTTTTTATTTAAAAAAGTGAATTGTTATTTAAGAAGGTATAATTGCTGTTTAAAAAAAATGTAACTATTTTTCCAAATTATGAGAAATTATGGATATAAATATATTTATAACTATTAGAGTGGTCATTAGTAAAATTTCAAAGTGTTCTTATCCACTTTCCACAAACTTAATTCTAGTATATGTAAGGAATAAAAACACATTGGAATGATTTTAGTAATTTTAGAAGTTAAAAGGATTTCAAAAAGAGTTGTTGCTGTTTTTAAAATTAAATAAACATTGAAAAGTTGAACAATTATACGAAACAAGATAAGCCTTGTAGAAAAAAAAAGGTTCTAAACTCATTTTTCTAAACCTCATTATTTAGGAACACCAATAATGACTATTATGTTTGAGTTTAAAAAAAGTCCAAACCTTGGTATAATTCCGTACTTTTTGTTATCTTTCAACATAATTTCTAACTTCTAAAGACAAAAAAAATAAAGATAATATCTTGATATATTATAAAAATACAAATTAATAATTTTTTTAAATATTTGTTTTTATTTTAACATATATATATTAAAGTTAAAATTTAAATAAATATAAAAATAATTTTTAAATAAAATTCATTTAAAATTATAAATAAAAAAAAATTTTCAAAATAAAATAAACCGTTAAAAAAATCTACCTATTATTTCAAAAGCTTGATGTCATTTTTGGTTTAACATGCCTGATATCCTTATCTGGGTTAAAGGAACCAATCAATAAAAACATTAATCCAGTTCTATTAATTCACAATTTCATTTAATATGACTTTAGCATTCCATTTTAATGACTTAAAATTGTTTTTGTTGCTTTTTATAAATTTTTACAAATATTCAAAAAATATTTAAATGCAACATTTAATCACACACAACCATATTTACACAACCATCTGTACATAAGCATTTTACGCATTTTATGTAAAAACATAGTGCAAGCATTTTATCAAAATCACTTTTGCACTGTGTTTTCAATTAAAAAATTTTCAAAAAAGTATCCCAGATATCATAATTCTAAAAAACCATTAAGAACATGAAAAAATCATAAGGAATCAAAATAATTTAATTTAAGGAATTGGCAAAAAGTATGCACTTTTATTACTTTAGAAATCAAAGATCAAATAAATAATTTCATAATAATGGCAAAACACTTAATTAATCAATGTTCTTAATACTTGGCACTTTAATAATGAGATAATGCAAATAATGTTAATCAAATTATACTTGATGAGAGACTAAAAAAAAAGAAAAAGTAATAAAAATACTTTAGAAAAAGATCAAGATAATGAGAATAAGAAATTAAAAAATTTAATGGTGAAATTAAAAAATTTAAAGAACCTCTCCTCTTCATGATTTTTATCAACATACCAGGCCTCACTTGCCACTTGTATAAGCTATTATAACTATGACACAAAACTAACAACAATTATAAAAAACATCTCTGACCACTGGACTCTCCAAGAATGTAAACCAATATTTTTAAACAATAGAGTATTATTTAATAAATAATTATTTTGTTAAAGACAGGTTGTAAATTAATGCAGTGCTAAAGCACTGCATTTATTACCAACCTAACTGTATTTAACAAAATAGTTATGGCTATAACTGGTTCGCACATTATTTTTACCAATGCTAGATATGTTGAAAACCACATATATTTATAGCTCTAGCACTAAGTGCAATGCCACTATGTGATACAACTATGTGATATAACCAATGCTAGATATGTTGAAAAGAACTTTCCACATTAATAGCTCTAGCACTATGTGCAATGACTTTGATATCCATATATATTTATAAAGATGTGATGCATTTTTTTGGTTCTTGTTTTTTTGGTCATTTTTTTGGAATAAAAAGGCAGAGGTCCGTTTTTTTGTTTTTACTTGGGAAATATTTAAAAATTCATTATTCAAGCTACTACTTTAATGGCAATATAATAATTCATATTTTAGTTTCAGATTTAAATAGGACAATTAATATTGAAATTTACTAAATTTTTTTTTTATTTTGTGTATATATATATATATATATATATATATATTTGTATATATATATATATATTTGTATATATATATATATATATATATATATATATATATATATATATATATATATATATATATATATATATATATATATATATATATATATATATATATATATATTTGTATATATATATTTGTATATATATATATTTGTATATATATATATTTGTATATATATATATATATATATATATATATATATACATATATATATATATATATATATACATATATATATATATATATATATATATATATATATATATATATATATATATATATATATATATATATATATATATATATATATATATATATATAATTCTGATTCATTCCCAACAAAGCTGCAAGCAACTACTATTAAGTTTGGAGAAAAAAGTAATGAAAAAGTTGTAGAGCAAACGGTTGACAGAAGACTTAAAGAGTTGAAAAAAATAGAGTTATAGAGCAAGAAAACAGTTGACTTAAAAAGTTGATGGTTGTATGAGTCAGGAAAACATAAAAATGGGAGAGAGTTCCATTGAAATGCAGAGAAAGAAACTAAACAAAAAAAAGTTTTTAGAGATGCATGAACAGATACAATAAACGAATGAGACTGAGATAGTTAGACCCACTCAGGTAGAGTGGCTCCAACTACATTTACAATCCATTTTTAGACCTTGTCTAGAAGAGAAAGAGCATTATTAGAAAAACCAGCCCAAATATATCAAAAGTATTTGTCATATTTGAAAAATAGTTTTGTCATATTTGACATACTACCTCTACAAACAAGTATTTGTAAAGGTAGAGAATGGAATCAGGAGTGAGAAAATTTTCAGCAAGATAAAAAGAAGCAACCTTAGCGGAGGCTAAATTAGCAATTGATTGTATATATAGTCAACATAAAAGGTCAATTGTAAATGATAATCCAAGAAGTAGTAAGTGACTGATATTTGACCGGGGCCAGGTTTGATAAAATAAAGCCGGTGCCAGAGCCTGGTTTCCTGACTGGGGCTGCATTAACATTTATACATCCTAAAGTATATTTTTTTAATTCAAAATTCATGTTATATTTTGTATATATATGCATATATAAACATCATTATGATCAACATGATCATCATAATCATCATTACCATCATCATGATCATGATGATGGTGATCATCATCATCATCATCATCATCATCATCATCATCATCATCATCATCAGGCTTCAGTCTTCCTTTTTTATGCTGTTTCTCTAATATAAAAAATCTAGAGTATTTTTTTTTAACTAAACCTCATTCATACAATATGTAAGGCACTTTCTTCAAGTTTGCCTACTTCTACCACTACCATTTTCTAATGAAGCTGCTAACTCTCTACATGCTGATACCTTAATTTTTTCAAACAAACATTATTCAATAAAACGTTTTTTCTAATTTGTCTAAGATTGTGCATTCTTTTCTTGTCTTGCTAGTCACAGTTTTTTATCAACAACATACATTCTTAACAAAAGAATGTTGTTGATAAAAAGAAAAACAAAAAGCTTTTATTCCTTCTGGAATTAAAATTTGGAAACTTTTATTCCGTCTCTTCAATTTCAATCCGAGCCTCATTCTACTCCACATTTTTCACCATCTTGAGCAGTTGCTATAATAAACATAAATCTTTTTTTTCCCTCTTTTTTACAAGACTATCTCTCTTAAGAACAAATGTCCATTTATTATTGCAAGACGCTAATGTAAAAAAGTCCTGTCTTATGTTAAACTCTATTATTCTCAGTTTACTAAATCTTCTACCTTATCTTAGATGCTAGGTTCTAGAGACTTCTGGTTAGTCTTCAACAATGTCATTAACCAAAGTAAGTCTAACATTTAATCTCTAATTCATGGGTCCAATCTTTTTACTTCTCTTTGGGGTGAAAACTTTTTACTTCTCTTCGGGGAGCTGAATATCTCTTGAAATCTCTAATTTGACTCTTGAATGCAATGACCATACTCTTCCCAACAGTTAAACAGATTTACCCATTGTTAAACATGGAAATCACTCTGGCTTCCAATGCTAAAGTTTATTCTCAATTAAATGCTCCAAGCAAGATTTCCAGCATAGTCGTAAAAAAGTGTTCTCAAGAACTTTTTTTCTCTAGAAAACACTTTGACCTCTCCAACTATCCTACGGATAGTCTTCACTCTGTTATTAGTTACCTTATATAAAGGGTTGAGGTTATTAAATTATTTCTTTCTAACTACAGTAGTAAAGTTATTCTTAAAGGCCTATACTCTTCTTAATTTCAAGTAACTTTAATAGTAACACAAGGCTTTATCTTTGCTCCTGTATTGTTTCTTATCTACAATAACGATCTTCATGAAATCTAAAGCGGCTCTATTTACAGACAACTCAACCTTACACTCTTGTCTTGACATAAAATCTTCACTTTTTAATTGCTTAGAACAAGCAGCCAATTTTAAATCTGATCTCTCTTCTGTAACATCCTGAGGCTTGCAGTGGCTTATGGATTTAAATTCTGGCCTTAAAAACCACAATTTTTGTTAGGCAACAAAATTCATTTATTCACTTCAAAAAAATATTGCAATATTGCTGGCATTCCTATATTGAAGAATAACAACCCTCTTGCTCTCAGATAAAGTCTAAAAGCACATTTTAAATGTGCTTTTAGACTTGCTTTATCTGCCATGTTTGAGCCTGCTTTACCTGCCAAGCTTGAGCCAGTCTCCCATTGTTGTAAGGTGGTACTTTTTTTTTCTTTTCACAAATACAATCATGGTCAATGCTCAAACGAGCTATCATCTCTATGACGATAAACCAAAACTCATTCCTGCTTGGCTTTTTATTCAACAAGTTGCATTTTTTTACTGTATCTGCCCCTTCATACTATAAAAACTTTTATTAACCCAGTTTTTTTCATTGAACATCAAAAACTTTATAACTCTTGCCCAACTTCATGTTTTCTTTTTTTATACATCGTACAACTGAATAATTACAATAGAATTATTCTAAGGATATGCTACATAGTTTTAACCATTAGTAATTGTAACTATTCAACAAAAGGTAATTCTCAGTAATTAAATAGAACCACTTGATTTTGAAAGCATATACTTTAAGCTTCTTTTCTTCCTTTAAATCATAACACGACATTTGATTAAAAAGACAACTAAAACAATTTTTAAAAAGTCAAAAAATATGTTTTCTAAAACCTAAAGTTTTATATAATACTATATTTTTAAATTGTTATAAACATACCTATTTGCGTTAACGAATAAAAATTAAGTGGTTAAGTACAGTCTTGATGTTGTTTTCTTTTTGTTTACAAAACAAAAGGTTACAAGCATATTCCCAAAGCATTTTAATGCAGTTGAACTTCCATCTGTTTTATACTTTCTTGCTTACCGTTAAAATTAAAAAACAAAAATTTTAACTTCAAATTTTAATCGCAAAATTATTTGAATAAGAATATTTTAGAGGAATAAAATTGTTTTGTTCAAAAAGATTTCTTTATTAAAATAAAAAATACTAAAAACAATTAGCATATTTATAGAAAATGTTTGATCTTGATATCGCATAATTAATAACATATAAGATATAAATAGATACATTTATATGGCTAATTTTTGTGATTCTTTAAGTATATTAAGTAAATTTATTAGTTGAGTAACTGTAAGTTACTGTAGTAACTTAACTGATTGTTTAGATTTAGTTTAAAGGTAAATTTACTGTGATGTACTTTATCCATTCAGTAAATCTAACTAAATATAACTTTAAAATAATATTGGCTTCATGCAGAGATTTAAAGTAATTTAAATTCAAAAGCGCTTTTTGTTGAATAAAATCTCTACGCACAAAAGCAAAGATCACACTTCTATTCAAAAGATAAATTTAGCATGATGTACTCTATGACCCTAAATAAAAAACTCAGACAAAAACTTTATGTAAAATCACTTAAGGCTTACTTAAATTGCGCAGAGCGATTTAGGTAAGCCTTAATCCATTTTACATAAGCAGTAAGCGCTTTTGGTTAAGCAACATTTTATAATTTTTTAACTTTTAAATTATTCTGTGAGCGGTAAGATAAAAGATGTAATTAATTTTAAAAAACCACATTAACTTTTGAATGACGAAAGTAAAAACATTTGTTACAAAAGTTAAAATGACAATTATGTTAGATATATGTCCTGTTTACTAATGAAAAAAAACTCAAATAAAATTAAAAACTAGTTTTTCTTTTATAAAAACTAGTTTTTCTTTTATAAAAACTAGTTTTTCTTTTATAAAAACTAGTTTTTCTTTTATAAAAACTAGTTTTTCTTTTATAAAAACTAGTTTTTCTGCAATAGAATCAAAAAAAGGATTAACAAATATAGAAAGAAAAAGGATAACTTTAAATTATTGAGTGATTTCTTATTGTTCTTGAGTGATTTCTTATTTTTGTTGGCAATCAGTTATGATTAAACTTTTCATACAGGGGGCAGAAATAAAACCTTAGTTGCCCATTTATTTAAACCTCTGAACCAAATTAGCAAAATGGAAAAAGTTAAATATTCTTTTTGCCATAAAATTATGTCTAAAAATTGGCCTTGAGAAACAAAGCATGCTCAAAAGTGTCCTGTTATAGTACAATATGAAAAGGTCTAGATAAATAAATTATATCAAATCAGTCTGATATTAAATTGGCATGGTATTATATACTAAGATATTTACATTATCAAAATTAAAATAGTCACTTTCTTATAGTATAAGAATTGTATTATATATAATGAGACGTTTATATATTTTATTTATAATCACAGTTGTTAGGAAGTACACCATGACAAATAAATTCCCATACAGTAGTAGTTGCCATATGCCTAGATATATAACTAACTTATTGCTAATTTAACTTTTTATTAAAAATATAACTTAAATTGGTGTTTATACATATAATTTTGCTTTTGATGATCATATACTAATAATATACAAGATTAAATGAAAACTATTTCAAAATTTATGCCAAAAAAAAAACTAAAAAATTGTCTAAAAAAAGGAGAAAAACATCATAAAAACCTGAAAACCATCAAAAAAACATTTTTTTACCTAAAAAAATGCCAAAGGATTTGTGTGTGTGGAAAAAACATATGTAAACTTTAGTTCTATTAGTGGTAATATGATATGAAAAACTAGATAATCCACTGTTATAGGGTGGTGACCTTCCTATCAAACAATCTGAATTAGTGCATACAACTATGAAATTGGTGTATAATACAAAAAAAAGGATAACAAAATTAATGTCAATGGTTACTCAGCTGTCAAAAACTTAGCCCCATCAATCACCCACCTTTGATACCTGAATAATTTATCTCGTAAACATCATTTTAAAAGTATTTTAACATCATTTAGAAAAAATAATATTTACTCAATCAGCCATTCAAGGGAGTTCAAACGAACAATGCTGGAGTATACTTTCATAAAAAAGCCAAATTCTTTGCCACAATTTAGTCAAGTCTTACCAGAACTAAGGAAGCAGTCAAGCATGTCAAGCATTATTGCTAAATTTATTGTTCATCAAACCAAGCACATATGGTTCTCCAATAAAAAGTTTGTTTCCACCAAGGCCAAGATAGTACAATGGATGCTATTATTCTAGTTATAGTGAAGTGGAGTTATGTTAAAGTTAGTAATAAATTGATTTTTGAAATACTTTTATATTTTGCTGAAGCATTTAATCTTGTTAAACATGACAAGCTACTGCTAAAGTTAATGAATGTTTTTCTTAGCTGGTTCACATACTAAATTGCAGCTTATTAATATAATTTCCACCAAAAAGTAAAAACATGTGATCACACCACTGATTTGAAATATATGCAAATATAGGCCCAATCTTGTTTATTTTCTTTATTTCCAACATACACCTCCTACCTGAAACCTATTCTCGAAAAATATGGTGATGACACCCTGACCTACATTATCTACAATAAGGTTCCCACCAAAATACCTCAACCCTTTGTTGATGGTGTCTATGGTCAATGGTTTGAAACTCAACAGCTCAAAATATATTTAACCATTAGAATTAATGCCAGGTGCTCTAATAATCATACTTTACCATCATCCATTCTCATAGTAATGAGATCAAATTTGTCAACAGTTACAAGTACCTTGGCAACCTACTCAATGAGAATCTTGATTGAGGTGAATAATTGATAAATGTGCACAACACTATAAAATCAATAAGGGCCTTAAGTAAATACTCTCAGCTTAAATCTCTACAAGATTTAACACCGCTATTCAATTTTTCGAAATTATTCAATTATTAAATTAAATTATTCAATTTCGAAATTATTCAATATTTCGAAATTAACACCGCTATTTAATTTTTATCGAAATTAACACTGCTAATTCAAGCCACTTTATTATTTTGACATTGAAGAATCTGTGTTTATAAACTATAAAAGACCTTTGCTGACACATAACATCCAATAACCACAAAACTAGCTTGCACCAATAGCAACCCCAATAGTTTTCCATTTGCTCTGGTGTTAGTGACTTTTACTTTACTCACAATATTGGGAGCACTGTGCTTTCTCTTGGGAGCACTGTGCTTTCTCAATACTCAAACGATCTTTTATAATTACTTGAATTTTTATTCAAATTTTTAAAATACATAACTTTAAAAAATAAATTTTCTGTTTCTTTTTTTTTTAAACGTGCTTTTCAACTTAAAGCTAGATGATAAATAAACTCATAAAAAATATTTAGCTAAAACAGCATAGGAGAAAAAGAAATAATGCACTTGAGAAAAGCATAAAAATAGAATTTACCTGATCTTGGGGGCCAGTAATAGTGTGTGTCTTTCCAGAACCTGTTGCACCAAAAGCAAATACCGTACAAGAATAACTGAAATAAAAAAAAAAACTTGAAAACAATTTCAAACTAAAAAGAATAAAATAAAAAAATTTGCAGCAATAAATGTTATAACATATTAAATTTAATTATTAATTCAACTATAATTTATTTAAATAAAAGCATAATTAGCATAACTAATAGTAATAAATTATAAAAATTTATTTAAAATTTTTTTTTTTTTTTACATTTTTTATATAGTGAAAAAGGTAATTTAAAATATGGAAGTAGTTTTCAGTACACTGATCCCAATAACTGTTATTGGGATCAACTGGTTCCCACAACGCCTATAACTGTGTTATTAAGGCCTACTGGTTTCAATAACTCTGATATATGTGTTATTGAGACCTACTGGTTCCAATAACCCCAATAACTGTGTTATTGGGACCTACTGGTTCTAATAACACAGTTGACTGCTAGATATACAATTACAATCAGCCAGATAGTAGATATCTACAAATTTTCTACAATTTTTACTTATTTTATTATATATACAAAAAATAAAGACAAGAAAATTTTTTTAATGAAAAATGTGAAGAAATTATAACTTTATTATTTTAATATTTTATTTATTTCATTTTTTAAGTTTTTTAAAGATATAAATAGCATTATTACTTTACTATTAAGTAAATAAAAAATTATTATTATTAATTAAACATATTATTAGATGGCCTCTGGTTATGTTTAGAGCGCTACCACTCTGAATAACAGTGAATTACCTCTTGTTGTGAACTTAAAATTGATAGCTGAGAGGGCTACCACCCTTGTTAACACAAATACTGTAAAATGTTTATTTATATTTATTTTGTTTTTGTTTTTTCATGTTTCAGTGACAATAAAAGTAAGCAAAGATTTATGTTTGCTAATCCCAATTTTGAACTAATATCTGATCTAATTTTAAATGTTGACTGGATACAATGCTTTAGTAACAAAAATGTACAAGAAATGTTTGATAGATAGATTTTTTATTCTGAGATAGCATGTAATCATTTCACTCCAATTAAAAAGACATTAAACTCTTTAAAAATTAAACCTGGATTATGAGACCAGGGTTAATGCTAGGTTAAAGTTTCTTATTAGTAGCAAACAAAATTTAAGATATAAAAACTGCTCATGCAAATGGAAAAACCCTGTTTTGAAATCTAAATACAAAATGATTTGCAAAAATGTAGCAGATGAGATTAAAAAAGTGAGACAAAACTTTGAGCTTAATCTGGTAAAAGAGCCATCAAGAATCCAAAGCTTCTCTACAGCTACATGAACAATCAACAAGCAGTAAAAAAAACTATAAAAGCATTACAGGGAGCAAATGGTAAAACCATTCAAAATTCAAAATACATTGCTAATATTTAAAAAAAAAATTTCAAGCTGCATTTGTGAAAGAAGATGATGGTTTACTGCCTTCTTTTGATTTAAGAATTACTGAAACATTCGTTATGACAAATGAAGATTTTACATATAAAGATGTCTATCTAAGATTAAAAAACTTAAAAGATAACAAATCAAGTGGTGTTGATAATTTACATTCAGCTATTTTAAAGAAAAATGCATCAGCCTTTGCCATTCCATTTACGTATATTTTTAGAGTCGTTTGCCAGCAAACGTTTCTAAAAATATACGTAAATGGAATAAATGGAAACTGCCAGTGCGATTTAGATCAGCAAATATCAGTAATTGGACCACTCTTGTTTGTACTAATTATAAACAATTTTAAACTTTAAAAAAATCCAACCAAGCTGTATGCAGATGACACAAAAATTTTGAATGAATTGCTTTCCAGTGCATCAACTCTTTCTTTGCAATCTGATCTTGATTTAGCTATTAAGTAGACTCAAGGCTTGTAAAATTTAATATTTTGAAAGGTATGGTCATGCAGTTTGGCTGGAATAACAAGAAATCACCCCTTTATATCAATGAACAAAAGTTAAACATAACAGAATCTAAAAGTGATTTTGGAGTAATCTTTTCAAGCAATCTGAAATGGAAAAATCATATAATAAAATGAGTAGGCAAAGCCAACCAAATATTGGTTCAGATTAGAAAAAGCTTCGTTTCTTTAAACATTAGACTCCTGAGAATACTTATGTTTCTTTTGTGCAACCACTGTTAGAGTTTGCAGTACATTTTTGGTCACCTATTCAAAAGGAAGAAATTGATTTATTAGAAAGAGTCCAACATCATGCAACTCGATTAATACCATCACTTAAAAAAATCAGTTATGAAAATCGTCTAAAAGCTCTAGACTTGACTACCTTGACAAAAAGGAGTCAATGGGGAGATATGATTCAACTTTTTAAATTCTTTAACGGTTTTAACGATTTGGAAACAATAAAAAAAAATTAGTATTCAACAAACACAAACGAGAGGTCACAGCTTTAAATATGTCAAAGAAATAACTAAGCTAGCATGTCGTGAAAACTTTTTATTTAATAGATCGGTCAATTTATAGAATAGCTTGCCAACCGAGTTCGTTAAAGCACAATCAGTTAACAGTTTTAAAGCAGGCCTTGATTGCTGGATGAACAGCAATTAGGCGAATCGTCTGTCATAGTGTGTTAATACCACACTCACTGGCTCACACCAGTTACAGCAATTACTAATACTAATTAGTAAATAAAAAAGAATAATAGTAGACAATTATAGTAGAATATTACTAGTGAGATAATAAAAAAAAAATCAATATTTCAAAATACATCAAAAGTTTTCAATTGGTCTGCATTCCGGAACATTTGGAGGGTTAACTTTCTAATCAACATAATTGATATATTTATCATTTAAAAATATGGTAACAGATTTTGTAGAAGAATTAAACAACATAATAAACATATATTTTGACTGTCAGAACTCTTAGCTAAGCAATCTAAAAACTCTTAACTTAGTAATCATTTTTATATGTTGATTAATAGCCATGGAGTAAAACATGGCTCAGAAAATTTTTGAGAGGAGAAGCTCAAGTCTAAGTGTCTAAGGAGAAAGAACATCATGAGAAGTAACAACCCCGTTATGAGGACAGCATTAAATTCAGCGAGGAATAAGAAATTTGTAGAAAACTAGACAAATAAGAATATTTGGAGCACTTAGGAACAGTCACAGAAAAATAATGACACTTAATTAAATGACAAGTAACACAAGATTAAATTTCAGTAGATGACTCAAGCGACACTATCTTCTTAGAGCAGCGCCCTAACAGTATTTATAGAAAAGAGAAAGAGAAGTTTACAATGCAACTTGTCTAAAAAAGAAAGGAGGACATTTGAAGATCTACTACAGATATGGCAACAGTATTCCATAAAAGGACAGATTAGAGATTTATAGATAAAGAATAGAATCCAAATTAAGAAAGTGGTAAGCACGATAAAGAGATGCAACCTTAGCAAATGCTATTTCTACAATGGATTTGATATATGGCTTCCAAGAAAAATCAGAAGTAAGAGTTAATCCTAGAAGAATTAACTCTTACTTCTGATTTTTCTTGGAAAGGGTAGATGACTCATCAAGTACATTACCATTTAAAAATATAGGAAGATCTAGATTATTGTGATAAAAATCAGTAGAAAAAAAGTTTTATCTGAGTTAAAGTAAACCAGCCAATGAGACCCCCATTAGCAGAAGAAAGATCCTCTTCCAGCTCAAATGCCCCTCTAAGCAATCAGAGTGTTGGCTTCTTATCAAGACAAGAATTAGCCACCTTAGAGTAAACACATGAGAATTTCTGGGAGAAGGCAATTTAAATTTAAAAAAGTATAGGACCAAGAATAGAACCTTGATGAACCCCTGAAATTACAGGAAGTGCTGTTCATAGAGGACAACTTTTATACTATGATTGGTAAGGTAAAAGGTAAGGTAAAAATCAGCTCTATTCTTATGGTGTATCAGGTAACATTAAAAATGTTACCTGATACACCATAAGAATAGAGCTGATGGAGAAGACCACCATACCAAACGTTATCAAAGGCTGTAGAAATGTCGAGACATTTCTATCTTTTTTTAGAGAGGATGGGAGGGGGTGCAAAATTTAACAAAATATTAAACCATTTTAAATGTAATAATGTCTATAATTCTCTGAGCTTCTTTGAGTTAATAAATTAGTACTTTTCAGTCTGTTTAATGTTTTTTTTTCACCCCAATAGTTCCGTTTAATATTGTATGAATTAACATTGCTCTCCTAAACATGATAGCAATTTTAAAAATCTATTTTTCCGAAATATAATACATGGAAAATATTATATATATATGTATATATATATATATATATATATATATATATATATATATATATATATATATATATATATATATATATATATATATATATATATATATAACATATAATAAATAATATCATATTATACATGCAAAAGTATTAATTTATAAATACAATTTTCTTCCAACTAGCAATGTAAACGCGGTCGAGTGGATTCTGCTTCCGGCTAATGAACCGAGGGTTTCAGGTTTGTTTCTCGGCATGGAAAAGTTTTTTTTTTTTCAGTTATTGCACAAAGATTGTTTTTTTGTTGATGCACACTTTTGTGCACCAACAAAATTAAGTTCTGCACTTGAACCATATAAATTCAAAGCGTAAAACCTGCACTGCACAAACAGTTGTAACAGTCCGTTAACAGGCTGTAACAAAGTGTACACATAGACTAAGTAAGATTTAGGCATAGTTAATTTTACAATCAACATATAGATACATCAACTAAGGGTTTTGGTTTGATCAGATACTCTAATTATTTAATTAAAAGAACTTTTTCCAAAAAAAATGTTGCGTCACAAAATCGAGACCCCCTCCCTATCATAACAAATTGTCACAAAATCGCCTAAAAAGCGTGACATAATTTATAGATGACCCCTAAGAAGACTAATGAAACGGTAGTTAGGCAAGTCAGATTTCTCTTCAGAATTTTTGAAAATAGGGATAACGGATACCGCTTTCAAGCAGGCTGGAAAACAAGACTCTGAAAACACTTTTATTATTTTTAATATCATTGTTAAACAGTTTTGAAAGTATAAGCAACAGCTGCAGAGAACGCTTCTGCAAGGCTATAACTGGTAGGATGTTCAGGCCACAAGCTGTTGAAGAAACTAAGTAAGAATCACTTTAAATACAGAAGCTGGAGTGATACAAAATTTTAAGCAAAGGATCAACCTTTTCAGCTATATCAGGTAGGATGTGAATGAAGAAAAGGGATTGATAAAATGTTCTTAGTAAAAAATTCAGCTTTGTTTTAAGGTGAGGTAGCAAAATCTGAACCATGCAAGAGAGGTGGAATAACAGATTTACCCTTATTATAGACACTATTAAAGATTTTCCAGAAGTCTTGGGAGCCTAATTTGTAATCTATAGAAAACTATGAATTGAGGCTTGGATTGGAATTGTCAAGAGGGAATAAAAGATTCCATGCCAGCCTTAATCCAAGTTATATAAGAAGCACATTTATCAGCAGGATGATGAAAGATTTCTACCCAAGAGCCATCATGAAGAAAATCATTGAAAGTGTCTCAATCAGCTTTAAGGTAAGTGTAAAAGGTACAATAGTTTTAGAAAAAATAGATCAAACCATGATCAAAAGCACCTAATAGTAAATGGGGAGAAACTGAGCACTGATTAAAAACAGAAACAAGACATAAGTCAAGTAGAAAAAGTAAATTTTTCAGATTGTCTGGAATGCGAGTTGGAAATTTGACTAATCGTGTTAGAGATTGAGAAAGGCAAAAGTTGTGGGCCTTAATGCTTGCAGAGTCACTGACAATAGATCCAAGTCATTCATTGTGATGAACATTAATGTCACCAACAACAACAATATTGGCTAAAGGAAAAATAGAGGGCTTAATCAATTTGAGAAAGAATTATTTAAAAAATCAGAGAAAGCTAATAGAGTGAAGTCGTGCTAAACAAAGGCACATAAAAAACTAGTCTGTGGATTCAAACTTATTTTCCTGACAAATTGGTGAACTCTCACGAATGCAAATGCCCAGGCTAAGCATGTGGCTATTGGAGTCATAAGGAAATAAAAGAAGAATAATCAAGAATGGAGTCAGAAGTAAAATAATGGCAAGCACGATAAAGAGAGGAAATCTTAGCAGATATCTTTGCAATGGATTGTATATATATATATATATATATATATATATATATATATATATATATATATATATATATATATATATATATATATATATATATATATATATATATATATATATATATATATATATATATATATATATATATATATATATATATATATTATATATATATATATATTTATTTATATATTTATATATTTCTGAAATAATATTTTGGTCATACATTTCAAGGTTGTTTACAAATAGTATAAACTACTAACATCACGTAAACACCTAATGATAACGAATAAAATAGTAAAAATAATAAAGATAATATTTATAATAATAATAATAATAATAATAATAATAATAATAATAATAACATTTTATTTTAACAATAGTAATAATAATATAGTAATTAAAATAATTTAAATAAATCAGTAAAATTTTCCATACAACAATCGTTTTTACATACAAAGTTACAGTTACAAACAGTAATTAACTGACAGAACGTAACAACTAACGATGACATAAAACAACCACTGCTAAAAAAAATTATAAAGATTTATTAAATATATTTTTCTTATAATATAATAACCGAAATATATTGCAAATAATATGACAAAGTAAATAAATAGAATGCAAAAAAGAAAAATACTGAGAAAATCAAAGCAAAACAAAACTTACAAGCAAAACAAAAATTTACGTTAAGTTCATTTGGCAATAAAAACAAAATACAACATCAACAACTACAAGAAAAGAACAACATAAATTAAAAATGTATATATATATATATATATATATATATATATATATATATATATATTATATATATATATATATATATATATAATATATATATATATATATATATATATATATACATTTATATTATATATATATAATATATATATATATATAATATATATAATATATATATATATATATATATATATATAATATATATATATATATATATATATATTTACATGTATATATATATATATATATATATATATA